CTTTTTCCAAATCCTAAATTGATTTCAAAGTCAGTTACCAAAATACTTAATTATAAAAGCTGAGATTTTATCCTCATTATTAAGTTCTCTTGATCAAAATTCTCTTGATATCAGAAATCAAGTTCAGAGTTAACATCATGTAACAAAAAACCAGTATTTTCCTTAGGCTAAAGAACATTAGTTTCATGCAATGAATCATAATCATTTGGTCTTTTCCTTGTAGTAGTATCAACGATAATGTTTGACCTTTCTATTACTCGAGTGTTTATATCAGCAGCTACCATCGGAGTACTTGGTTTTAATACTTGAGTACCTGACTTAAATGTTAATTGGAAATTTAAAAATTGCTGAGAAGAGCTATCAACCATTTGAGTATATGGTAACTTTGGAGCTAAAGGTCTGTATTTTCGTAAGTTTTGGTTATTTTTATAGCTTTGAGAACCTTGAAAACCATTAGCGTCAACTTGGCGAGAAGACATTTTGACAATTTTTGACGAGAAAATTTTTGTTTCTCACGCTTCTGGTTGGTTGACGTGATGTGTTATTTTTTTGAACTAAAAAAACACCAATTTTTTTGTTTTTAAAGTTCAAAATTAGTTCACGTCATACAAAAAGATCAGTCCAACTAAATTTAACAAAAACTGAACGAAAAAACTGACTGACCGAAAATGAATAGGCCTAATAAAAACAATCACTAAAAATAGTTAATAATACTAATTATTTATATGTTATAATGATCTAATTTATAGGTAATGTGATATTTGCGATTTAACTGATATCGCACACCCCAATAAACTAGGATTTCCGTTTAAAATAGAATATTAAATATTCGAAAATACAAATTGAATTGACGAAAATCAAATATTGAAAATCATTTAATATTGAATAATTTTTTTTTTTAAAAAATTAATTTTTATATGTCAGCGATCGAAAAACAACTGAAGGAAACAAAAAAAGAAATTGAAAAGGTGGAAGGAGAGTTAAAAAATGTGGAAGGAGAGTTGAAAGAGTTTATGAAAGAGGAGAACTTGAAGAAATATAAAGAGTTGTGGGGGCTGGAAGAATTAAAGAATGAAAAGAACAGGTTGGAGAAGAGAAGAAATAGTTTGGAGGTGTTGTATCAAGAGCTGTTTCGTGAAGGGAAAGGTAATTAACAAATTGCGTAAAAAAAAATATACAAAAAATTATTTTCTATTCATTCCATTTCATTTTATTTATTTGTTCGTTTGAGAGAACATTTTATTTGATATGCTGTATACAATTTTAATTCTATTCATTTTATTTATACATCCATCCATGCATTCCCAATATTGTGCAAAGGAAGGAATATTGCAAGGAAAGAGACAGCTAGATGAACATGAAGAAAGTAGGTATACTTTCTCACAGGATTCGATCAATTTCGTTGCTTCATTTTTTTTTTGCCTGTGCTGTGTCATATTTGCTAATAATATCAAGAACCTTTCTAAATCACTTTTCTTCTTGCCTGTCTTGTTAATTATCATTCATTTCGGAATTATTCTTTAGGTTGCCTTCTTTGTCTTATAAAATATATAGTACCCAAACAAACAAAATGATTAAGGGAAGAAGAAACAGTTAGACTAGTGAAAAGATTTCACACACGAAATTTCAGGATCTCTGGTCCTGTCACTGAGAATGATTTTCATATTTCTGTGCACAAATTAACCATGCCAGATCTCTTATACCATGCCGAACGTGGTACTTATTTGCTTTTACATGGTCATCGACAATCTGGAAAGTCTACTCATCTTGAACACTTTTATGAAGTAGCTTCCAATGGTTGGAGCACAACATATTCTACATCATCAGTCATTCGTCAACATTGCAAAAATGGTTTTATAGTGATTCCACTTTCTTTTGAATTCAGATTAGATCTTACTACAGTGGATACTTTTTGGAATAGTTTGTTTAAGGAGATTGCACAAAAGAGTCCAATTTCGATTGACATAGATACTCTTCAGAAACTTTCAACAGAAGCAAAGAAAGTAGCATTCCAGCATTTGTTCACATCAGAGTATTTCAAAAATTTGGTGATACTAATAATTGATGAATTTAACAGGCTTTATTAAAACACAAAAGCAAAGGAATCATTCTTCTTAGGATTACGAGGATTGAAAAATTCATGCTTAACCCAACATATTGATCAGAACAGAAATAGGTCGATGCTGTACTCGTTCATTGGTGCTGGAACATTTGACATAACACTTCTCGATTCAACATTATCACTCAAAACTGAGCAAGAATTAAGTAAAATAAATTATTATTCATCACCATTTAACATCACTGACTCATTGTGGATAGGTCACTTTACTGAAAAAGATGTTATAAACCTTCTTAAAGAGGCTGCGGAAGACAGAAATTTGTACATAGAATATGAAAAAATTGGACAAGACATATATGACTAAACAAATGGACATCCAGATTTGACCAGTTTTTGTGGTAACAGGTTGATTGATGAAGTATGTTGGGGGAAAACACAGATTCAATTGGCAGACTGGAAGAAATTTGCAGCTGAAAATTTGCTTAACAGGGCATTAGCATCAAATGTATTCCTGAAAATGATTAAAAGCTTGAAGGAAAATAACCCTAAAGCAGAAATTGCAAGAACATTACTATGGAGGAAATACTTGTTTGATGATGAGATACATGAACCCTCACTAAAAGAGAAAAGTGGACTCCATCATCTTCTTTCAATTGGTGTTCTTATCCAAACAAACAGATACAAACTTGAATTTTCCTCAACTTTAATTCAACAATTGATATTCATGCATTGTGTGATTTATCGGTCATACACACCACATAGAGTTGTGGAACTTATCACAGAAAACAAAAATATAGACATATTCAAACTTATAGTTCATGCTGTTTCAATATTTCGAAACAAAGTTTTAACAGCAGCAGAAGTACAAAACAAGAAAGGTGTTGCTGAATACACTTTCCAATTTGAACTATTTTCAACTATACGACATATTTTGCAAATAGTTAGTCTGCAATATACAAACAATGGTATACGAATTATTGATAAAGGATTTCTTATCTTCCCGGAGGCAAAAGAGAAGAACAAAATGAGAAACAAACGTTTGGGCATCCTTATTCGAAATGGTCACAAGGTTCTGATAAAATTGAAGGTTGAGGTAACTGATTATGATTCACTTGTTCAAGGAGTCAACCAGGCTAAAGATTACATGATTCACATTGATTCAAGTGAAGCATACTTGGTTATTCTCTGTACTGAGCTTCCAATGCATTATAATTACCAGGCTGGTACTGAGGTTAAGATTATTTGGATTGTGAGCAAGGATTTTACCATATATGAAATTATAACTGTTGGACAAAGTGAAAAAGTTAACACTGAGCATAATCGATTCCTACATGGGTGGTCTTAAAAATAGGCAAGAGTAGGATTTAATTGTTATTATATTTAGTCTACTATACATCACTTTGGAAAAATATGGGATGCTTTAATATCTGTAATTTTTTCTTTTTGATAAAATAAAAAAATTTTCTCTTTCTTCTCTCCTATAGTTTTTTGCCATAATTGTTTTTTCGATTTCCATAATATTACTATTAAAATTAGTTTTTTATATTTTATTTTTCATGCTTTGTAAAAATTGTTTCATTATAGAAAAATAAATGCAATATTACTTACTATATTACTATTATTATTATGAATTTTTAATCTATGATCTGTTATATCACTGCAAATTTGTGCAAATAACTAGATAATTATTATTATATCAAGATTTTCTTCATATTTTAATTGTTTCAAAATAAAGGTTTTTTTCATATTAATACTATAATTTCAATTGGCAATTATTATGATTGCAATTTACCTTATTTAGAAGTAAATCTGATTTTGATGTATCTATTATTAAACAAGTCCTTTTTCCTTAAAATTGAATTTCATGCTCTATTCACATCTGTATAATATTGATTTGTTTTATAAAGCTTACTTTAATTTTTAATCAGAATATGAATGATTATTTGTACATATAGAATTTTCTAGAATAGATACAAATTATTTTCAGAATGCTATTATTCATGTTTTGTGAATGTTATCTTGTAAAGATGTTTTGTAAATTTGTTTAAGATGCATATTTAGTGAGTTTAAAGATCTAATTAATAATGATTTACTAAAGTTATTCTTGATATAATATAATTTATGAGAATTTGATGTTAACATATAATACTTGTATCTTTAGAGTTGAATCTGCTAGTTTTCATATATTTCAAGTATCTATAAAGAAGTTGAAATATTATATGAAATATATTGATTTTATCAATATACTTATGCATTAAAACATTTATTGAGAGAAATTGATATTAGTAAATAAAAATTAGATACTTATAGATCTAGAATATATTAATGGTAAAATTAATTTACATGATGCTAGATACATCTCTAACGTGTAAAAAATCTTGGTAGAATTAATGTTGTTATTGAAACTCTTCAGCATGAGCATTACTAGGGATGTTAAGGTCTATGACCAAACCAGTCTAACTCTGGTTTGATTATAGAATCAGTTTCAGTTCAATTTGAAGATCAAATTAAACTGAAACTGAACTGAGTTGAACCGGTATTTAGACCAGTTTGGATGATCAATTTATATAAATGCTGTGTTGCATAAATTATAAGACGTGTTAATTATTTTAACTAGAATAATTTTCATTTTGTATTATTATTTGTATTGTACAACTCGAGACCCCTAGTCACAGCAAATTTGGTATTCATTTTTTAAAATGTATCTACTCTCTGAAAAATAAAGTTATTTCTAAAATACCATCGTACTTTAATGTGTTTTATTTTTAGCTTTCAAATTACAATAAGATTTTTTAAATACGATTACCTCTTAAAAAGCTATTGTTAAATCTTTGGATGAAAAATTTCCTTAATTGTATATAGTAGATTTTCAAAATTTGGCATCAATAATATTTTCGCATCTATTGCTTAAATGAGCTGGAAAATTATTTACCAAACTTAATTTTTTTTTGGAATTTTGTTATGCTACTACTTTCAAAACGTGAAAAACAAATAAAAAGTTTAGCTAAAGATAAACAAAAAAAAATCAAAACTTTACTGTGCCTTTAGAAAATTCAGATATTGATGATAATTTGGAGTGGGAAAATGAGGAAGAAGTCATATGGGGAGACAATAAATTGGATGAAAAAGCTGAAACTTTTGTTAAAATTTTATTAAATGAAATGAAAAACTATATGCCTTCTTCCCGAAAAGCTGTTTATATTTGAAATTCTATTCAAACAAAAAAAAGAAAAAGAGCACAAGCAAAAAAACTTTTAGCTAAAAATAGTCATCTAATAACGAATTTCTTTAACCCATCTCAACTCCAACCTCATGCACCTAATGATCCTGATAAATCTGATTAGAAATCAAATTAATCTGATAATCAGGAATCTGAACATGAAGATCATTGCAAATATAGACAATTAATTAAATCCATTGAAAAGGAATTAAAATAAAGTAATCTTGATGGTAATTATAAGCTAAGATTAACTGCTTTGTTGCAGTATCTAAGGCTTGTTAACCATAAAGAGCCAAAAATTAAAGCAAGCCTCTGTATTGCACAGTAATTAAATAAAGGATCATATTTTGCATATTGTCTTAGAACATAGGAAAAATTAGTAAGGAATGGTGAGACTATTCCAATTTCTAAATGGGGAAAACATTGCAAAATTCAAAGTTTACTTAATGATGAAGATATTCAAATTCAGATAGCAACATATTTATGTAAAAACAAATTTGAATTTTATGTAGCTGATTTCATTGATTATGTAAAGAATATTGTTTTTCCATCACTTGGAATTGAACAGGAAACAACAATAAGGTTTAAATTAAATAATTTATTTTACTAAGTGAAAATTTAATTAAATTCTTGAATTTAGCACAAAAACTGCAAGAAAATGGCTTAAGAAAATGGGTTTGAGTTTAAATGATTTACTAAAGGTGTTTATGTTGATAGTCATGAAAGACCTAATGTAATTGAATATAGGTTAAAATTTCTGGAACAAATGGTAAGGTAAAAACTTTTTAGTAGTTTTTTTGTTTCAAAATAAATTCTTTTTTAATCGAATTGATTTTTATTAATCCAGTTATGAAAAATTAATGCCAAAATTTGATGATAATAATTTGGAAATTCAAATTAATTCTGATTTGCAAGAGAATGAACATTTGCATATTCTGGTAACTCATGACGAAACCACTTTTCATTCTAATGATGAAAAGCAATTTGGATAGGCACCACATGGAGAACAACCTTTTTGCAAAAAAAGAAGAGGAAGAGCTATTCATATTAGTGACTTTTTATGTGAAACAGTTGGATGATTAAAATTAAATGAAGAACAAAAACTTTTAGAAAGTGCAAACAATTTTTCACATGAAGCTAAAGTAATTATAAATTCAGGAATAAATAATAATAGTTAGTAGAACATTGAATTATTAGTTCAACAGGTAATTTGTTTCATTTTACTTTATTTTAATTATTTTTTTATTAACTTAATTTATTGGTTTCATAGGTTGTTGATCATGCAATTCTAATATTTAAAGCAACTTATCCCAGAGCTATTGCAATTTTTGCACTTGATAATTCCACTTCTCATAATACATTTAGCTCTGATGCTTTTATTGCAAACTGTATGAATGTAGGACCAGATGGAAAACAACCAAAAATGAGAAATACTGTCTTTAATGATCAAATCCAATTTATGAATTTTCCTGATGATTTTCCTGAAGAATCTCTTTGTGAAAAACCAAAAGGAATGAAATAAATTTTATGTGAACATAAACTATTAAAACTAGGTATAAAAGACTTTTGTAAAAATAAGAATTTATTGGATAATCAATGTTGTATACAACATATATTAGAAAATCAACCTGACTTTCTTGCTCAAAAATGTATGATTCAAGAAATTATTGAACACAAAGGTCATAAAGTAATTTTTTATCCAAAATTTCATTGTGAACTTAATTACATTAAAATGTATTAGGAAGCTGCAAAACGTTATTCAAGAAATAATTATGACTATACATGGAATAGATTGCAGCAAGTTGTTTCTATTGCGTTAAATCAAGTTTCTTTATTGAAAATAAGAGCATTTGCTAGAAAATCTTATAGATATATAGATGCATATAGAAATAGATTAAATGTAAAACAAGTAGAATATGCTGTGAAAAAGTATAAAAGACATCGCATAATTCCTAATAACATACTTCATGATATTATAATAAATTCTTAATTTTTCTAAAGTTGGCCAAAATTATAATAAATTCTTAATGCTAGTCAGAATTACGTGATTTTTTAAAAAATAAATTTGGCACCTGATATTGAAAGTTGCTGCGACTAGGGGTCTCGAGCAATACAATGTTTGACAGCGTAATTTCAAATGAAAATGATGATAATTTCTCAGATATTTCTTTAACTTTTTTAGCAACTAAAGAAGATTTCAATATAATAACTCACAAATCAGATGTATGAGAATTTTTTTTTAAAGTCTAAAATGAAGAAACTAGACTAACAACAGGTTATAAATACATATTATTTATAGGAATTATATCAAGCAAAAGATTCTTTAATTTTCAATTATTATTAATATAATGAATTGTTATTTTAAGATAATAATCTTTTGGATCTAATATCTATATGTCTGTTATGAGAAATATTTTTAAATTAATTTGTGAAATTTTGCCTATTAAATTATTTCTTTTTATATCATAATTTTTTACAAATTTTTCTTTTAAAGTTTGTCTACATAATAAAATAAATTGAGGGTTCAACTTATTAACAAACAATTTAAATTCAGTATTTTCAACAATAGAAAAAGATTGTAAATCAGTTGCAATAAATCAATCAATGAATTTGTGATGAAGTTGGATTATGATAAAGAATAGGGTTTGAAATGTGTTTCATTCAAAGTAATTTGATTTAACGCAATAGAAACAACTTGCTGCAATCTATTCCATGTATAGTCATAATTATGTCTCATTCAAAGTAATTTGATGATTTTCAGTTTTTTTATAATGAAATGAATGTTTTTTAGTTAAATGTTTTCAAAGGGTGGTTATTAGATTGTCAAGCGAATAAATTTTAGTACATAATATTATTACGGTCAGTTCTTATAAGTGATAAGTGAAGCAATATTTATGGGTGGTAAGCAGAAGGTTTAATTTGATATTTAGATTTAGAAAAGTGTTAGTAAATTAACAGTTTATTTAA